CGGTGTTATCACCCCTGTTCCCAGCACAAACCCAAAACACAGCCCCATACCAGCTACTGGGGAGAGAATTCACTGTATCCCAGCCAAAACCAGCACAAGGTGAATTTTTACTTAATAGTTAATGAGACTAGAAAAAATATTTTCTTTAACTGCTGTGGCTGTGTTCAAAGGGCATGTAGGAGCCAGAGTAATCAGGCTGTGAGGTTGCTCAAGGCTAAGGGATTTGGACATCTAGTTTCTAGGCAGCTTGGAAACTCCTAGTCTAAGTATGAATATTAAAACAATCTATAGAAGGGTTGGATAGTTTCACAACCGTTTAAAGCGTGCTCTGGAAAACTCATTCAATTCCTGAAGACTGAAGTTGCTGTCTGAGTGTGTGTGAGAAGCAGCAGCCTTTTTACCTGACAAATGTGACGTTTGTTCTGTTTCTGTTTTTCTTCCAGCCGGCAACCCTCTTGTTCAGCAAAGTGGACAGCCGCTAATCCTTACACAGAACCCGGCCTCGGGTCTGGGCACAATGGTCACTCAGCCGGTATTGCGACCTGTACAGATCATGCAGAATGCCAATCATGTCACGAATTCTCCGGTGACCAGCCAGCCCATCTTCATAACGACCCAGGTGAGTGCCCGTCCAGCCAGGATGATCTGGTGCACTCATCTGTGGAAGACTATCCTCTGTTAAGAAGCAATCAGATGCCTGTTTGTCTTGTGTGCTTTGGTGGATGTTACACTTGAGCTGAAATCTGTTGGGGTTTGGGGTTTTTTTTTTTAATTTATGTAGATTTAGAAATAGCTTGTTTGGGAATAGCTTGTGTTCCTAGTCATTTGGCAGTTGAATCTCACTTGAGGAAAACTGGCCAGGTTCCACGCCTCAGCAGGTCCTGTGGAGCCAGCGCAGGTCTGGTGGGACGTCACGCTGGCTCTCGCTTGTGGCCTTACCAGTGGGGCCTGACTCCCTGCTGCAGGTGGGTCTGTCCGCTCTGCGTGAGTTGGACCTTGCTGAATACTCGACTGCTTTGTTTTATTTTCGTGGGAAATGTGCAGGTGAATTTATTTTTAAATGTCCACTGGCTTCTTTGAGCATTTCCTAAGACCTGGGAGAAGGTTTCTGCAGGTGCTTAGGGGAGGAGAGCTTGAGAGTGGAGGCTGTACATGGGAATGTTGTAGAGCATAAGGAAGGTGACCCTGCTGTTGGGTCAGGTGCTGGCCGAGCACAGCAAGGCCTCATAGTTCAGTTGATCTAGAGATGATAGTACTGGGGGGTGGGGGGGGCAATTATTTATTTGTTTGATTAATTTTTAGGGTAGAAAGCTCATTTGAAAGTGTTTGAAATATGCTTAGTATGGTAACGGTACTGTTTGACTGCAGGGATTTCCTGTGAGGAATGTGCGGCCTGTACAAAACACAATGAACCAAGTTGGAATTGTTCTGAATGTACAGCAAGGTCAAACAGTTAGACCCATCACCCTCGTCCCAGGTGAGGACTGAAACAAGCCAAGGCTGCTATCGAGTTCCTTTCCAGAGTACCAAGGGTTAAAAAAAAATTAAAAAAAAAAAATATATATATATATTTGAAATTTTTATTTCACCTTGTTGTGGTTTAACCTGGCAGGCAGCTACCCACCACACAGCCATTTGCTCACTCCCCCTGCAGTGGGGTGGGGGAGGGAATCAGGGGAAAAAAAAGGTAAAACTCATGGGTTGAGATAAAGACAAGTTAAGACGACAGGAAAGGAAGGGAAAATAATAACAATAAAAGAATACACAAAACAAGTGATGCGCAGTGCAATTGCTCACCACCCACTTAAAACTTCCACTGAAATTCCTGGAAATTTTGGAAGCTCGGCAGTGTTGGAAAATAGGCTGCATTCGGTTGTGACAAGGAATGGCATTCGATTATTTGATCGGCCTTGTTTGTTCTTTTATTTTTGAAGCCCCAGGTACCCAGTTTGTTAAACCAACAGTTGGAGTTCCTCAGGTGTTCTCGCAAATGGCCCAGGTGAGACCAGGTACAACCATGCCGGTCCGACCCACCACCAACACTTTCACCACGGTCATTCCGGCCACGCTTACCATCAGGAGCACTGTACCACAGTCCCAGGCACAACAGCAAAGTAAGTCCACTCCCAGCACCTCCACAACTCCTACTGCAACGCAGCCAACACCACTTGGACAGTTAACTGTGCAGCAGCCAGGGCAGTCCAGTCAAGCTACTAACCCCAAATTAGGTAAGACTTGCCATGGAAAAGCCAGGGGACTTGAGTGTATAACACTGTCTATGATTTGATCCTCAAGCATACGGCGTAGCAGCTAAAAGGCAGACGTTGAGTCAGAACTCCTGGGTTCTATTTTTGCCTCTGTCACTGACTCACGCTTCAGCTCTCTTACCAACCTGGAAAATTGAGGATCATCCTGCCATCATGTCCAGTTTGGTTTGAGAACCAGTTAAATTTTGTAGAATGTTCTGAGACCATCAATTAGAAGTCCCCAAAAGTGAAAAATACTCTTTGTTAATCCCTTGTACTTTTGGAAAGGTGAGGTTAAATAGATGATGAACACACACAGAAACTAACCACGGTGCTGGCTTTTTTTTTTTTTTTGAATGTTGGCTGAATTCATGAGTGAAATGATTGCTCGAGAACAGTGACAAACAATTTGAAAAGGAAAAAAAAATCTGCTTCATGCAGCAAGCAGTCAGGTTATTTCTAGTTTTAAGTGGCCATAATCACGTACAGCCACATTTAGAAAAGAAATACAAATAATTTTTGTGACCGTCAGTATCCTGTTTAGTTCATCGTGGGACTTGGCTCATACCTTGGAGTGTGATCTGGAAGGGTAGGGAACTGGACTTTCCCAGCCTTGCCGGCCTTCGCGTTACTGGACAGGATAACTGATGGCTTAGGCATCTTTGGGGAAGACTCCAGGTAGAAGAGCAAGAGGCAAGGCACACTCGCTGGGGGCGGGATTCAGACAGTGGATCAGAACTCAGCAATTCCTTCTGAGCCGCCTTGTGTTACCCGTTCCCTTGGCAGTGAGCATTGCGAGCTTTGTGACTGTAAAGAGACCCGGAGTGACTGGTGAGAACAGCAATGAGGTTGCTAAGCTAGTGAATACCCTGAACACCGTTCCTTCGTTAGGACAGAGCCCTGGCCCACTGGTGGTTTCCAACAGCAGCCCCGTGCATGGTTCCCAGAGGTCGAGTGTTTCAGAGTCGTCGTCATCGTCGTCGTCATTAAAAGGTATGGTCTGTAGTGGCTGTCTTAACTGGCTCATTCTGCTGAGGATTCAGTTTATTTTCTGGAGTAAAAAAAAAAAGCAAACCTGTAACTACTGAGATTCCATAATAGGGATAAACACTTGGACAGTTTTGCTATTAATTTCTTCATCTGTACACTTTTATCCGGTGATTGGGTCTTGTTTGTGGAGATTTGCTTGCATATGTTATTTTGCATTCTGAATTATTGGTGTGCATGCTGCCAACCTGAGAATACACACGCCCGAAATACTCTGTAGAAGGAGGCAAATGGATAAAGTCTTTGCTTCTCTTCTTCCAAAAAAGCACCTTCCTAAGGTGTTTGGGAGCCCAAAGGTTGATGGAAGGTACATTGCATGTCATCTGTATCCTGAGTTTCTTACTACAGCTGGAGGGGAAGATGAGGCATTTTAGTCTGACAGAAAACCAAAGCCAACAAATGCTTAAAGAAACCTAACAAAAATTTAAGGAAAAAGGGAGATGAGTTGAGCTGATCTTTTTTCTTTTTTTTTTTTTTTTTTTTTTTTTTTTTTTTTTTTTTTTTTTTTTTTAATTTATTAAGTCTAATTTTGAGACGCTCCTATTCTTACTTTTAGCTACTGGGGAGTGTGTTTTGTCATACAGCTTGACAGAAGTTTGCGTGCTTTTGCCTTTTCCTTGCCTCTTCCAGTCTAGTTTATAGTTAAAAGTGCAGCTCTTGAAACCAAAGTGTTTCGGCATGCCAAACAGATTGCCTGGATTGAAGATGAAGTGTAAGGATTCTATTGTCTCGTTTTGTGTTTTTCCTGTTGCAGTCAGTTCATCTCCTATTCCCACGTTTGATCTGCAAGATGGCGGCAGGAAGGTCTGCCCAAGATGTGATGCTCAGTTCCGAGTCACTGAAGCTTTAAGGGGACATATGTGTGTAAGTAACCATTCTGCGATGAGCAGCGGGTGATTGCTCGTGACTGTGGAGTGCGAAGAGCAGTTCTTCGCCCTAGATCAGGGCTGTGGAAAGGAAGACTGTGACTAGGAGAAAGCGAGAGGCAAAGGAGAGGCTTTGGAAGGCCTTCCACAGCATCCCTCGCTGGAAGTAGGGCCTCAGGTTTATGTCCTGTTGGTGCCAGGAGATGCGTTTGTTTTCTGATCTTGCATATCAGTAAACAATCAAAATGGAAAATCGGATGTTGACTCTGCATTGCCCTTTCCTCAAGAGTTTCCTAGAGCTCCTCTGTCTTCTCTTAGTACTGGTTAGTCTTTGTTTAATAGTGTATATATAGTTCTTCCTAGATAGACTTTAACGTGGAGGTTTTTGTGTGTGTGGTGTTGGGTGTTTTTTTTTTCTTTTAGTACTGCTGCCCTGAAATGGTTGAATTCCTCAAGAAAAGAAAATCTCTAGAATCTGAACCAAATATTCAATCTGCAAAGCCTCCATCTCCAGAAAAAACTACAGCTGTTGCTTCACCACCCTCTTCTACTCCTATCCCTGCACTGTCCCCACCTGCTAAAGCTCCAGAGCCAAGTGAAAACGTAGTTGACTCATCCCAAAGCAAGCTCATTATGTTAGTAGATGATTTCTACTACGGCAGAGACGGTGGCAAAGTGAGCCAGCTACTGAACTTCCCCAAGGTTCCAACTTCCTTCAGGTGTCCACACTGCACCAAGAGGCTAAAGAACAACATACGGTAAGAGGAATGCCATGTGCCACAAAAGCAGTCTGCAGGGTTCTGAATACCTCTGATCTGCAGAAGTAAAACGGACTTGTAAGCGTCAGTCTCTCGGGCCCTACAGCTTGCCCATGTTGGAGCTTAAGACTGGAACCGAGGCGCAAAAGGGGAGAGGTTTGCCCGTTGTCACACACGTCAGTCAGGGCAGACATTGTAAGATTGTGTGGTTAGAATAATTGTGTGCTTATTCTTCAGCAGAGAAGCCTCGCTTGCTCATTGCTAGTCTTACTAGATAATAGGAAATAATTCTTTGTGAAGAACAACTCTCCTCATCTTTATTTCAGTGCTTTTTCAACAGAGGGAGAAAATACTTTTGTAAAACAGTGTGTTTGTCTGAGGCAGCCACTATGTTGTTCTACTGTGATAAGTTGAAGTGTTTTGTCATCATCACTGAATGCCTGGCTGGGGTCAGAAGTGCTCAAAAGCAAGTAGTGCAGCCTCTGACTGCAAAACCTGTTCTCTCGTTCTCCTAGGCTTAGGGAGCGGGAGGTTGCTGCATAGAAGGAGATTTTGCTTGCTTTTGATGGGAAGAGCAAGAAGGAAACCTCTTAACGCTGTTAGAAAACCTCCTGGTGTCGCATGCATAATCCTTTCAGGGTTACAGGTGCAAACTGTTGGGATTTCTGTTCACACGCTTTCTCTGCACCCCCATAAGGTTTATGAATCACATGAAGCACCACGTTGAACTGGATCAGCAGAACGGAGAGGTAGATGTCCACACCATCTGCCAGCACTGCTACAGACAGTTCTCCACTCCCTTTCAGCTACAGTGTCACTTGGAGAATGTCCACAGTCCCTACGAGTCAACAAGTAAGTTGATGTTGCTGTTGTCGTTTGTTTAGGTTTAAGAGGGTTTCCATCTTGTATGAACTGCAGACCTGTTGAGAAGGGCGTCGCTGTTCTGCCTTGCCTCTTGGTTCTGCAGGCCAGCAGAAAAATCCGTCTAAATTATGTTTCTGCAAACTTACTGTCAGGAGTATTTTAAAGATCAAGTTCAATAATAATGTTGTGGTAGAATTTCATTTTTACCGGTAGGTTGACACCTGATTTTCAAATCGCTTGCAGTTTCCTCGTGAGGACGTCTTCCTTGTTGTCCTACCCACTGCTTTGTTTGTTTAAGAGAACTCTTGCTGCCTTTTGGAAGCTTCTCGGGATGTATTTTGTTGTCTACCCACTTCAGAGAGTTGAGAGCTGGGTTTTTCTCACTCAGTTGACTGGTTGTCTCTTGTTCCAAGTTGTTACACTACCAGTTGCAGGTGTCTCTGGTGTGTTTTAAGAGGGTGGGGTTTGTCCCCCAGCTGTTATTGCTGTACCTTTCTTTCGCAGCAAAGTGCAAGATTTGCGAATGGGCGTTCGAGAGCGAGCCAATGTTCCTACAGCACATGAAGGACACCCACAAGCCTGGGGAGATGCCCTATGTTTGTCAGGTATTAAAAGTGGTTTGGGGCTGGGCTTCATAAACGTGTATTAGAGACTAAGAGGAAATGTGGCACTAAGAGGAAATGTGCAGCAGCGTGTGGCTCGAAGGTGTCCAAAACGGGCTCGGGCCATGGAACAGTTGTGTTTTTTCCCAGGTGTGGACTTGGAGAAGTCCAGTGGCTCTGAGGGCAGCACGAATAGCTGGATGTTTGCCAGCGGTTCCCAGCCCTCTGAAGCTGGATCAGCTTGGTAGATGTTTGTTTAGTCCCACTGGCATTCAGAGCCTAATTTTTTTTTTCCTCCCAGGGCCTGCAGGCAAATTGCTGTGCCATAAAGAGAAGTTGTCACTCTGGAGCAGATGAGATTGTGTTGCTTGTGTGATACCTTTTCTTGACACTCTGTTGCCATGAGATTTGTGCTTGCATCGATTCTGAACGTGTCATCTCCACCCAGAGGTCCTAACACTGCCCCTTCAAAAAGAAAAAACAGAGAAGAACCTTGTAAAATATGTTACGCTAAACAGATTACGTTCCAAATTCTGTGTTTTGCATAGACCCTGAAGAAACTGCTCTTGAATAGATTCCAGCTGCTTTGCATTGACTGTCTCTCCCGTTTTCTTTTTTTCTGGGATCTGGAGCTTGAATTCTCACTACTTTCTTCTTATACAAGTAGTTCAAATCTGTTTCTCCAAACTACTCTGAATGTACGCTGCTTGGTTTAGTATCTTGCAGCTGGAATAAGCTAGCAGGTTCTTTACGACCTGGTTCCTAAACTCCACTGATGAGTGTCCTTGGGGATCTGGGCATTGCTGTTGAGATCTCCATGTTGCAGTGGCAGATGTGAGATAGATTCCTGTGTTACTGCACTGTTAATTGTCTCTGTCCGCTCCTGTAGGTCTGTCAGTATCGTTCATCGCTCTACTCTGAAGTGGACAGCCATTTCCGCATGATCCACGAAGACACGCGGCACCTGCTCTGTCCTTACTGTCTCAAAGTCTTTAAGAATGGCAACGCTTTCCAACAGCACTTCATGAGGCATCAGGTACTCGGGTCAGGGCTGTAGCCCTCTTTGAGGTGTTTCCCTCTCCACAGAGATTCCCTGGACAGTAAGCATGCGATGAGTTGAGCGTTTGCTTGGGATAAAAACAGAAAGAAAGAAAACTTGGCTGAAAAAGGGGGTTTAGTAGGTGCTGCATTCGCTCCGTAACAAATGCGATTTGCACGCTGTCGTTCCAGACCTTCCATAGGGATTGTGCTGGAGAGAAGAGGCATTGCTCCTCTGGGAGTAGCACAGATTGTTGTTCCTTAGCAGAAAAAAGCATGTTTTGCTGGACTCTGTGTGCTTCATGGGATGATCAACCAAAGTGGGCTCTGTGTTCATTGGGGTTTTACATGTTTTTTACCTCCAGGTAATAAATAAGTAAATAATACTGTGTGCACACAAATGAATATAACTATCAAAGCTCGGTGTTCTGTTTCCATATATGTTGGCTGTAATGACAACATATTTTACGTGGGCATAGCTGAAGTGTACTTTCAGAATACAGACGCGTAGCGTTCTTACCGAGTGCCTGAATTGATTTGCCCCTGAAGCCCCCCGCTGACTCCCGTAAGAGGCAGAGGCAAGGCAACTTCTGAAGGAGCGCTGCCCCCCGCGCTGCTCTACTCGTGTGCTTTACTTTGGCTTAAACAAGCTGGCTAGGGCTTGTTCCGTGGCACTTCAGCTCTGGTGTGTCTGCAGAGCCTGATGATTTTAATTAAAAAAACAAAACAAACAAAAAATTGAAAACCAAACCCCCCCAAGATACGGGGCTTGGTGGAAGGGGCATTCAGATGCTGAAGGAAAATGGGGCTGCCTTGGGTTTCAAAGAGGGGAAAAGTGGTTGGGTTTGGTTTTTTTTTTTTTTTTCCTTTTGCCAGTTTATTTTTTAACAAAAACCCCTGCTGTGTTGTGACTTCCTTTCCTCTAAAATGAAATGTATTTCACTTGTGTTTGCTTTAGAAGAAGAGTGTTTACCACTGCAACAAGTGTAGACTCCAGTTCCTGTTTGCCAAGGATAAAATTGAACACAAGCTGCAGCACCACAAAACTTTCCGAAAGCCCAAGCAATTAGAAGGATTGAAACCTGGAACCAAGGTAAGAAATGCTAGTTGGCAGCAGGCCTCTGTCCTCTGTTCCCTCAGGAAGCACCCGTAGCATCTCTGTTGGTGTGTATTTATTAAGTGCTGCCAAGCTGATGTTTGCTTCATCTGCATCACTTAAACCACACTCACTGGGACAGAGAAACACTTTGGTTCTCTCCGCGTTGTGTTGAGTTCAGCAGATACTTCACAGAGGCAATAAGTGAGAGAGAGAAGGTGGAAGTGGCACGCCAGGGGTTAAACTCTGCAAACCAAGGTGTCTACAAGCCAAGGTTCTGCGCTAGCTGTCTGGACACCCTCTGTAGTCATTAGGGACAAACAGGCGCTTCTGGGGCTCAAGTCGTGCGTCCTCTTCTCGGCTACTGCTGCCCTGGGTGGGACGAATGGTGTCCTAGGAGCACCTCGTTATTCTCTGCTCGGAGTCTGAAAGACTGCTCCAAACAGGGGACTCTGAATTTGGATAACTCGCTTCTGCCCTTGTGTTTTAGGAGGTATGGGTGTATCTGTTTTCTGCAGGTTACAATCAGGGCATCTAGAGGACAGCCACGGACAGTGCCAATATCTTCAAATGACATGCCGCAGGGCACTGGACAGGAAACCACTCCGCTGTCATCTTCTACCGATCCCCAGCCCATCTTCCTGTACCCGCCTGTCCAGAGGAACGTCCAGAAGAGAGCGGTCAAAAAAATGTCAGAACGTTTTGCTAAATTTCAAATTTAAAAAGATTTTGAAAGGAAATTTAGTTAGCTCTTTAATGCCACAGCGAGGGGCGATACGATCCTCGGCACTGGACAGCTCTGCCTTACCAGTTGCCAAGGAAACTTTATGCTGGGAGAATCCAGCTTCCCAGAAAACCAGGATTATGTCGTGTTATGAGCGCCCTTAAGGTGAAACTGCGAAATACTGAATTAGCTAGGCGGCCCTCTTATGTCCTGTTGCCTTGTCTTCAGGCTTTTTTTTTTTAAATTTATTTATTTATTTATTTCTTAGCCACTGTTAAACTATTTGCTCCTGCCTACAGCAAGTGGGCAATGTGCAGCCTGGCACCGAGGCGCCCTAGGAAGCTCGGGTGCAGGATCAGACGAGCCTGACTGCAGGCTTCTGAAAGCTGACATGTCGTTAAATTCCTTGCTGTCCTGATGACTGTTACGACTCCCGCGATGCCTGTTCAGACACTAACAAAAATATCCCTCTTCTCTTCAGGAGCGTCCTGGGGAGGCAGACTTGTCTGGAGTGCAGCTTCGAAATCCCCGACTTCCCAAACCACTTTCCCACCTATGTGCACTGTTCGCTATGTCGCTACAGCACTTGCTGCTCCAGAGCTTACGCCAACCACATGATCAAGTATGTCTGATTCTCTGAACGCTGCCGTAGAAATTCCTCCTGCCTGGATGCAGCAGCACCTCTGTGCCTGCCTGCCTGCGCTGTAGGAAAGGGGGATCGGGGAATTCCAGTTCACTGCAGTGGTTTGTAAGACGCTGGGCACCGATTCTGAATCGGCACAGGCGTGGGTGGTGGCTTTCAGATGAGATGAGAAAACTGAGAGCAAGAGCTGAGATCCGTCCCGAGCTCTCGGTGTTGTACCTACTGGCATGAACTGCAAGCTGCTGCAGAAAACTCACTTTTCAGTGCTCCTAGGATTTCTTGCGAAATTCTCAGATGCAGTAATTTAGAAGTTTTGAAAAGGGAAAAAAAAAAAAAAACCCAAACCTATGCCATGCTTCTACAAGGCTGTGGTCTGTACTGGGCCGTGGCTGGAGCGTAGAGCAGGATGGCAGAAGAGTTCCTCCAAAATCTGGGCATTTTTAAATGTTATTGTACAGGGGTTTTATTTGGACACAGAGTTCTCATCTCCTGGAGTACCAGCCTGGCAGACAAAATATTAAACCCCAGCTTGGGTCTGTCTTTGTAAACGTGCTGAATTGTGCATGGGTTTATGGCTCTTTAAATACCCAGAATAACTCTGACATTTCATAAACTCTTTTGTCTTACAGCAACCACGTTCCTCGGAAGAGTCCAAAATACTTGGCTTTGTTTAAAAACTATACTGCCTGGTAATGGAAAACTTGTCGTCTGCTTCTGATCACCGGGGAATGTGCATTCACTTTCTGAGCTTCCAGTTCTCTTCTCTCATGATCTGCTTCTGAAGAAGCTCTGTTTAGTTTTTGCCACACAGGAAAATACATTGAATTAAGGGCAATTTGTTGAGACTCCCATTGCCTTCCAGTGGGAGTTAATGTTTCAGGGTGGGGACACTGCCTGTATACACTGGAGGGTGATGGGTTTTTCCCGGCAGTTAGTGAGGGGATGTATGTATTTCAGTATCTGATACTAAGCTCGTGTCTTTTATTTATTTTCTCCTTTTCTTTTCCCCTCCAGTGGTGTAAAGCTGTCCTGTTCCTCTTGCCTCTTTGTAACCTCTGAGGGTGATGCAATGGCCAAACATCTGGTCTTCAACCCATCGCATGAGTTCAGTAACATTATTTTCCGAGGTAAGAGCTTGAACAGGAGCAGGGAAGCTGCAGAAAGTTAAGGCAGGGTGTAACACCTCAGTGCATAGGCTCCAGATCAAATAAATCTGCGTTCAGCGTTGGGCTGAGCACTTGCTGAGTCCCGAGGTCTAATGAAACCTGGCGTTGGGGACCTTGTCTGGCTGCCTGAATGAGTCTTCATTGTCATGGAGATGGGAGAGTTAAGCTTCAAGTGCGGCTGGGAGCTCAGCGGGCTCTCATGGGATCCTCCCAGGGAGAGACAATGCCCAGGGCTTCAGCGATTCCTCCCAGACGAGGCTGTACCTCCCCCGACACCAGGAGGCCTTGAGCAGCTGCTGATCCCGGGATTTCAATAGAGCCTCCAAGTGCCATTCCAGCCACTTGCTGTGAATTGCTGCTGCGGGGATTGCCTGCAGGGATCTGGCCAAAGCCGAGCTTTCCTAACCAAGGCTCCCTTTGTTATTGCGAAGGGATGTGGGGTTGTCTCAAGGACCTCTGATGAGCGTGTCTCCACCCCATGAGCGGTTCTCCTGTCAGTTTGGATGTGGCGGTGCTTGGGTGTGGGAGGAGGCTGGGGTTTGGACCGACGGGTGAGCGTTAGCTGCTCCTGCAGCATGTGGGATGCGTCGGAGTAGCAGGCAACAGAGGGACTCTGATCGTCCTCTCTGTAAGAGCTTGTTTGTTTGCACTTCATGTTTGTTTGCTGAGCTACAAATGCTTTTGTTGTTTTGTTTTTCTTAACAGGGCCTACTTGGATATCACATTCCAGGTAAACTGTTTGTAAACTCCTATCTGCCGTCATCTGCTTCCGTTTGTGGGGTTGGGTTTTGGCTTTTCGCTTGTTTGTTTTCCCTCAACAGCTTCATTCTCTGGGTTTTAAGAAGGTCCTGTGTTCTCTCCCTTCAAGGCACATTCAGCCCCAGGACAAAAGCATGAAGAACACGTGCCCTACCTATTCCCCAAGTAAAGCTGCTACTGTGAAAACAAAGTCTGTGTTGCCTGCGAAAGATGACCTGGAGCCTGAGCTGGCCCCGGCAGCCTACAGCAGACCTCTGGCCTGCCAGGAGGAAGAGTGCTTAAACATCGACGCTCAAGACGACGAGCAGCCGACGAAGGAGCCTGAGCCTGCAAGCAAAAAGGAGCAGCTGTCGGTCAAAAAGCTGCGCGTTGTACTGTTTGCGTTGTGCTGCAACACCGAACAGGCTGCCGAGCACTTCCGGAATCCTCAGAGGCGGATCAAGCGCTGGCTGCGAAGGTTTCAGGCTTTCCAAGAAGAGAACTTGGCGTCCCTGTCAGAGGGCAAGTACCTCAGCTTGGAGGCTGAAGAGAAACTGGCGGAATGGGTCCTCACGCAGAGGGAGCAGCAGCTGCCCGTGAACGAGGAGACCCTCTTCCAGAAAGCCACCAAGATTGGCCGGTCCCTCGAAGGTGGCTTCAAGATCTCCTACGAGTGGGCGGTGAGGTTCATGCTGCGGCACAACCTCAGCACGCACACCCGAAGGGCAGTGGCTCACCCCCTCCCCAAAGACGTAGAGGACAACGCCAGTTGCTTCATTGAGTTTGTGCAGCGGCAAATCCACACTCAAGACCTGCCCCTCTCCATGATCGCGGCCATCGACGAAATCTCGCTCTTCCTCGACGTGGAGGTGCTGAGCAGCGATGACAGGAAGGAGAACGCTTTGCAGACGGTGGGAACCGGGGAGCCCTGGTGCGACATTGTCCTCACGATCCTCGCCGACGGCAGCGTTCTCCCAACGCTGGTCTTCTACAGGGGTCACGTACAGCAGCCCGCCAACGTGCCGGAATCTATCATGTTGGAAGCGAAGGAGAATGGATACAGCGACGACGAAGTCATGGAGCTGTGGTCGTCCAGAGTGTGGCAGAAGCACACAGAGTGTCAGAACAGCAAGGGCATGCTCGTGCTGGATTGTCACCGAACGCACCTATCGGAAGAAGTACTTTCCTTGCTGAGTGCGTCCAGCACTCTGCCGGCTGTTGTCCCTGCTGGCTGCAGCTCCAAAATCCAACCTCTAGATGTTTGTATAAAACGGACTGTGAAAAATTTCTTGCATAAAAAGTGGAAAGAGCAAGCCAAGGAAATGGCGGACTCCACATGCGACTCGGACATTCTTCTCCAGCTGGTTTTATGCTGGCTGGCAGAGGTCCTGGAGGTCATCAGTGACTCTCCTGAACTCGTGCAGCAGTCCTTCCTGGTGGCCAGCGTGCTGCCCGGCCCCGACGGCACGGCCAACTCGCCCACGCGCAACGCCGACATGCAGGAGGAGCTGATCGCCTCTCTGGAGGAGCAGCTGAAGCTGAACGAGGAGCAGCAGGAGGCGGCGGCGGCGGCTGAGGCCCAGGATCGGACCCAGGCCGAGGAATCTGCAGACCCAGAAATCCTCCATCAGCTCTTCGAGGGGGAGAGCGAGACTGAATCGTTTTACGGCTTTGAAGACGCTGATTTGGATCTGATGGAAATCTGAGCACTGGTCTGCGAATCGCGATCCGGAAAGGGTTGTTCTTTGAATAAATGTTGGCTGAGACCATTACACTTCCCTGTGGATTTGTGGGCTTAGGAAACTCGTAGGCGATCACTCAGATAAATAGCCATTTATGCTGTTCATTTATAAGTTTTGTGCTTTTTTAAAAGGAAAATCACTGTGTTGGTATTTTCTGAAAATATATTGTGGGTGACTATTTTTGCGTTTTCTTTACCTCACTGTACCATAGTTTTCTGTTTTTATTGTGCAGAAATGTTTTGAATTCTACATTGTCAATGTGACCATTTCTAAAGGAAGGAAAAAACCACGTAGCTAATGAACCAGAATATGAATCGATTGGGTTGTCTTAACACAACTTTGGGGTTTTTTTCTTTTTTTTTTTTTTTTTTTTTTTTTTTTTTTTTTTTAACAAACACTTGACCCAGAGATTTAGGTTTCCGTGGAAAACTTAGCGATGAGTTCCTGCGTTCATGTGTGAACCTTCTGTAATTGGCCGTTGAGGTTCAGGTTTGCTTTGGGTTTGGGGGGTTTGATTTTTCTGGGGTTTTTTTGGTGGGTTGTGTTTTTTTTTTTAAGAGGAGTCATTGTTTCGCTTGTGAATTGGGGCGCCGAGTAAAAACGCAAGCGAAAGCATTTTTTGCCTGTTCAATGCCAGCAGCGCCGCTTGGGAGCCACGACACTTTGACCTGGGCTCGAAGGGCGAGACCCGCGGCCGGGGGCAGTGCCCACCCAGACCCCGCGCTCTCCCCCGGACTCGGACGCGTGCGCTGGTTCCTCTCCTCCACCCGGGAACCCGCCCGGCGCCCGCCTTGCTCCAAAGAGTTACCGACAGAGGGTCCGTGGTGGAAGAGGGAAGTCGAGCCTGTCTTGACCTTCCCGCGCAGTAGAGGGGAGTTGAGGCCGTACGGACCAGGAAACGCTGACCTTTAACTCCTCGTAGTGGGTAAACCTGCTTTAACCAGTGGCATCCGACACTACGGTCCTTAGAATTAGAGATCCGATGTAATGAAACAAACTGTGACGTGCACACAAAGAAGACGTTTGTTTTTATTTTTCACTGCCAGCTTAAATTTTTCTACAATTTGCATGTTTGAGGGGTTTTTTAATTGTACGTATTATGGTATAAGCGGAAGCGTTTTGACCTACAGAATCCAGAGGCACCTGCACCTTTCTGTTTCCATAGAGGTTTTGTGAACCTTCCCTATTGCCGAAGGAAAGCAGGGGGCAGCATGTGCAGACCTGTAAATGGTTCATCTTTGAAATGTACAGAAGTGGAACATTTAATAAAGCCAGGGAAATGGATTTATAAACATGTGTGTTTATTACAAAGAACTGGGACTCGTGTGATCTCGTACTGCTCGCTGTGAGGTTCACCCTCACCCCCCGGGCCCCCCCAGCTGCTAGCGAGTAGAGTCTTTTTTTTTAATTAAAAGTTTGAGAAATCATTAATAAAGCCCTCTCCTGGACAAATACCTCTGCTGGTGTCTGTCTCGGGTAGCAGTAAATGCCGCTCTTCACGTTCTTTATGAATTTATTTCACATAAGGCTCAGAGCGGCCCAGTTCAGCCCCAGCTGCAGCCCACCCAACGCTGCTCTGCCCCTGACCCAGACGGGGTCGTGACGGAGGCTGAGCAGCAGGGCGAGCGCCTCGGATCTTGGGAGCCCTTGTACCCGCTGTCTGCTGCCGGTGGGCAGAGCAATCGTGTTTAAATGGGGAGATCTTGATGAATCTTGGCTGTTAGAGAAAGCGGACCACTAAGCCTAAGCCCCACCGGTCAGCGTTCCAGCTGCTGCTCCGGAGCTGCCGTGCCCAGTGCCGCAAACCCACAGCTTGGAAGCCTTCCATGAAAGGGGAATGTGGAGGAAGCACACCCTGGTGTGGTCATCTCGGGCAGAGAGGCCATGGCTGCTAATTAGAGGTAATTGGGGAGTGCCTTGGCCCAGCTGGTACAGCCAGGGTGGAGGCCCAGCTGATAAAGGGACAGACGGGGGCTTAGGGAGTGCGGCACCCGCCAGGACCCAGTCAGGAAAACAACAACTGCAATTATTTGCTGCCCTTCTCCAGCAAAAACAAGGCCTTGGCAGCTGCTGGCGACCTTCACTACCCAAAACAAACGGGAGCCTTCCCGCAGTCTGTTCCTGGATCACCCCCCCAAACTCAGGAGCCTTCCCGCAGTCTGTTCCTGGATCACCCCCCCAAACTCGGGAGCCTTCCCGCAGTCTGTTCCTGGATCACCCCCCCAAACTCGGGAGCCTTCCCGCAGTCTGTTCCTGGATCACCCCCCCAAACTCAGGACGCACGCAGGCTTGTCTCAAGAGGTTTATTTCCTCCCCTGCACAAGTTAGATCAGAGCTTCCAAAGGAGTAACAGATTCACAGCGTATAGAAAGGGCGTCAGCGTGGGCACAAGCGCCTGCAGCAGCTCTTCGGGGATTACTCGAAGCCACTGCAAAAAGGTGTTTTGGTAAGGTCAGGATGCCACGCGACCTGCGCGCGGTCAGCGTCGGCACCAGCCCCATCAGCGCCGCCCC